GGTAACTCGCAGAGGCCTTGGGCAGCCGCAGCACCCCAGGGCCCCTGGGCAGGGGCGCGGCCGTAGCTGGGGGTGAGTGTGGGGCCGGGCGAGCAGAGGGGGCGTGTGCACTCCTACAGCGGAGGGCTGGGGGTTGCACCGTGGGGCCTGCCATACCCCGGCTTGCTGTTGTGTGTGCCGTTCCCTGGCTCCCCCTCACCCCCATTTCAGAGCTGCTTCCCCTTTCGGGGCCCGAGGGGAGGCGCTTGGGTTTCAGTTCAGTCCAGGGGCCCCATGGCAGGCGTGCGGTGCCGGCGGGGGGGCGGGACACAACCCGGGCTCCCCCGGAGCCTCCCACCTGTTCGGCAGCCCAGCACCCCATCTGCCCCAGGCGCCTGCTCCGCCAGTCGGGGTCTCGGTGCCGGGGAGGAGAGCGCGTGGAAACAGCAGCTGCTGCCTGGCGAAGCAGATGGAACCAATACTGCAGCAGGCGCCTGCTCCGCCAGTCGGGGTCTCGGTGCCGGGGAGGAGAGCGCGTGGAAACAGCAGCTGCTGCCTGGCGAAGCAGATGGAACCAATATGTAAATCAGCCCCTTCAGCATCGTTAGTGGGAACACGTGCCCTGAATTAATTAGCAGGACTCCCCTGCGCTCTGTCGGGAGCTGGCTGGGGCTCCCTGCTGCAGCTTTGTTCCTGCCACGGAGCACGTGGCCCGCGCTCCCGGCCTGGGCACCGGGCTTCCGGAAACACGCGTTCGTGCCCTGAAAGGCAGACGGTGCACGTGCCAGGCCAGGTGCCCCCGCACGTGGGGGCACAGAGCGGAGCCTGCTGTTTGTCAGGCATCCTGGCTGGCAGGGGCCGTGCTGCGCCCTCGGTGCCCATGGGGATGCTTTAGTTCCCAGGCAGACCCAGGCCTGGGAGGCACCAGGGTGGGATTCTCATCCCAGCTCTGCTCTGTCGCGGTGTGTAAATCCCTCCTTGCTCCGTGAAAGGGGGCGCACGCTCCGTAAGAACGGCCAGGCTGGGTTACGCCAAAGGTCCATTCCCCCAGTGTCTCGTCTGCCCACAGTGGCCAGTGCCAGGGCCCCAGAGGGTGTGAACAGAGCAGGGAATCAAGTCATGCATTTCCTGTCACCTATTCCCAGCCTCTGACAACCGGAGGCCAGGGGACACCATCCCTGCCCACCCTGGCTAGTAGCCATTGACGGACCCCACCGCCAAGAATTGATGAAGCTCTTCTTCTAACCCGAGTAAAGCTGTGGCGGGGAGTTCCGCAGGTTGACTGTGCACTGTGTGACGAGCAAGGCCCCGGCCAGCGCCGTCTGAGAGCTCGGTGTTTTAACATGTCCCGCCCCCAATCGCTAGGCCTGCCTCCTGCGGTCTAGAAGGGCTCCCGCGCCAGCTGAGTGTCTGTGTCTCCCTCCCAGGTCTGCACCCGCACCCCATCCCTCGGGCCGGGTACCTGCGCTCCCCCTCCTGGACGAGGACCAAGGCCGAGCAGGGGCGGGAGAAGAAACACCTCAGTGACTCGGAGCTGCAAGTGGGCATCGTGGACACTTTCCTCACGGTGGAGCGGCCCCAGGAGGAGGACTAGGGGGCTGGGCGGTGGGGGGGGCACACCGGGGCTGTTGGCTCTTGCACTGCCCCCAGCTGCCAGACTGTTGGTGATCTTAACAGAGCCCCCCGCCTAGAGAGACGTGCCCCTCTGCTGGCTCCACGTAGCACAGTGCTCCCCGGCAGCGGGGGGGCAATGTGGGGGGCAGGGGGAAGGGTACACCAGCACACTGGTTTAGCACTTTTTTAACCCCTTCCTGGCTCAGTTCAGCACAAGCTCTGGCCGCGGCCGTGAAGGGTTTGTACTGGGCAGGCTCAGCGCCAGGCGGGCTGCCCGGAAGGGAGACGCAGGGTCTGGAGAAGACCCACCTGAAGCGGGCAGAGCTGGGGGGGGAGGAAGCCCCCTTTCGCCCCCCGGGCTGGGGGA